TTATAGATTCTTTTATTTTTCTGCTTAATAATGACATGCTCATAATGTTTCTGCATCACTTAAAAGCGACAAAATGTTATCATTTGAAATCAGTATTATGTTTAGCAATCATGTATTTTAATGCCCTAATTGAGTTAGTTTTCATAAAATGTAAATAATTTAACACTAACGATACTTATAGCTTTGTGTGTGTTGATAACGAGTGTAATAACTTCTTCTCTTTAATGGATATCAAATACCGTCATTGGTTTTTAGTACTTTTGTAATATCAGTATGGGGTATTTTCATAAAATATGACGAAAATAAGAGAAAGGAATCTAAAGAATGTTTGATGAAATTATTTCTTCATTTAAATGGAAATCATACACCGTCATTGCAGTTTTGCACTTTTTTTTTAACAATTAGGATGAGTTGTTCTTTGTGAGATATGCTGAATATCAAAGAAAAGATACTTAAATTTTGTTCGCATTGTGTAAAATACCTGGGACAATTTTACTAACAGTTAGTATGATAGTCCCAGAATATACCAATGTTTCTTCTTTTCATAAAAAATAATGATCTGGTGTTTTTTTTCAATCAGACATTTTAAATGCCTCTTGCTAAATTATTTTTCATAGAATGTGAACAATATAACTGAAGGATAAAGATACTTCAACTTTTTTGTGCTGCAAAAGACTGCAACTATTTCTTCATTTCATTAAAATTCTGAATCATCAAATTAAACTGAAAATCATTTACCATTATTAGATATTGTTATTTTGGTAGATCGGGCTGGGTTTTTCTCCATATAATATGATAAATTTAAGAGAAAATATACTTTTAAATTGTTTACAACTTTTTCAATGTCCATATTTCTCTATTGTATTGAAAATTATTCACCAAAAATTGACAATATTTGATTGATTTTGATTTTTGAGAGCATTTTCGGCAATTTAAGTTGATTTTAGCAATTGCGATAAACGCCGTTGATAGCACTCATCAGGTTTGATAAATAAAAATGCCTATATATTTACGACAATCGTAATTCTCAAATAACATGTATAAGATTTTTTTTTTTATCTGCATACTTCACTTCTCTGCTACTAAACGTAAAATTTTCAACTGTTAAAACTTTGCTGAATGATTTAAGTTAATTGTCGTGCTTCTGTACATTCACTTTTTGTATTATTCCGTGGCACCATTTTGATTGAATGAAACGAAACTAAGATTTCGTAATTTTCAAGAGTTCAATATGTGATGTAGTAGAGTCAGTCACAATTCTCACTACAGGGTGGCGGATTGGTGGCATGACTTTGAGGCGGACTTGACTGATCGGTGACTGATCGATGACCGCTGACTGATCGATAAATTAGTAACATCTAAGGTTGCAAGTATTGTAAATGGTTACTTTAAAAAATAATGACAAAAATTACTTGTATCAGATTGTTGCATACATCTTTGAAAGAATTAGTAATAACAAGTTTATAAGGAACATATGTAACGATCTTGGAATACAAATAATATGTAAACTCAAGGTCTTAATTAAATCACAAGTTTTCACCTATTTCTATCAGTGAATTTCAAGATTTTCGATGAAGCTGATATATATTGATTGTCCCAAAGGACCAATCTGTAATCCAGAAACATCAATATTACATGTAATTGCGTCTGATAGTAATATTTGTTTCAGGGGGATTTCATATGAAAAATATCCAGATGTCTGAGAGAAATTCGCTTAAGCTAATTAAATTTGCATTAATAGACACATATTTAAATGAAATTTACGAAAGTAACTTAATAATTTATATATATTAAGTAATATTGATAAGAGCCTCGTTTACGAACATTCAATAACATGACATATATATGTCTCTTTAAGTTTCTTGTTTCAGTAATGTATATAGTTATATGTATTTTTGCTAAAATATGATGCACATATTCAGGACTTTCATATCTTTCAGCATTTTCCTATTGGGCAATGATGCGAGTAATGTTACAATGCCATGATACCCTCCCGTTTTTAACGCGACCACATGATACGAAGTGCGACTATATACAACGTCTACACAAAGAGTTATGTAATACCTGTCAGACATCAAAAGATTTCTATCAATGTGAAGAACGATACTGTCTCTACAAGTAGTGTACACGTGGTTGTTGTATATTACGGATTGTATCTCATATAATACGAAATGTTAAATAAAACGAAGTTATGAACACAAACTTTAAAAAATGCAGTTTCAATTTCATGACTTTTTATGACTTTTCATCAGATATTTGTAGTATACTACATTGTTCTATGTTGATATTTAGTGTAAAATATAATTTTGAGGAACAATTGATTTAACATATATCATAACAGTGATTTATTCAAAGTTTTCTTTAGTTTTTGCATTATATTGGTACAATATAAAAACGTATAACAAATATACTGAACTCCAGGACAAATTCAAATAGGGGGAAGTCCATAAAAACCGACAAAATCAAACGTTATCAATCAACGTAGCAAGTGAATATCAACTGCCACATTCCCGACTTGGCACCGCCATTTTCCGAAGAAACGTCCTCATATCCATCTATTACACAGCTTTCAGGATCTCTGGTTGAAATAATTGACATTCAAACACTTCAATAGTTGAAACTTGCATATACACCTTTTAAATTCTAAGTCGTACAAGGTCTGCAGCGCAATCCAATATATTGCTCCAAAAACTGATACACGTTGTCTTAAAAATAGTATTAATCACCTTTACCGGAATGAAGTTGTTGTGGAAGAATTGCATGCTTGTTGAGTAGGCAATATAAGCCGAGTATGGATTTTGGCTATTTACCGAACAGGGTCTTTTCTAAACCGTAGCCTTAAATCACAGGTACTTTGCTCATTTAAATATTCATAATGACGCCAGCTGGGTGAGCCAGGTAAAATTGGATATTTTTATACGAAATATCTCAAAAGAGCATGTGCGTAAAAATAAAAGTAACTTTCAAAATAAACAAGATGGAGCTGTCGAGACGTTAGGCCTTTTAAAGTGTTGTTGTGGAAAATAGGAATGTTTCCCGATATAAAAGTATAACCTTCTTTAAATAATGTCTTGAAATCAGACCATGGAAGGAAATTGGTGTAAATGACTTTTTGACATCGTTATTATTATTTCCATGTAAGGAAGCTATTGGATTAAGCATAGGTTGACTGTAGTAAAATATCAGTATAACAGATGACCACGTTGTCTTCCACTTGTCGTTGACAATATCACCCCCTCATTACTCGCTAATTGCAATACCTAATAGGATTTATCGATTGCACAACGGGTAACTCAAATGATGTAGACACTTCTTATCATTCGTGAGCACTTGAGTTCAAACCCTGTTATTGGTTGTAATCTTGGGTGTTTTTGTGTGGACATTTGTTGGTCTTTACATCTCATTTCAATTTAAGAGCGGTATATTCATTTATTTTTCTCGATAACAAAACTACCGTCACATAGTGTGCCTTTTTCTCCTATATCTAGGTTTCGGTTAACCATACATAGAACCTGTCTTAATTTTAGGTACATGATCAATTAAAAAGTATTCAAGATACTAAAAGTGTGAATATATTTTTAGTTTCTTATGCTTTTTGTTGTGTATTTGTTATCTCTGACGTTGTTATTAAGAAACACATGCGTGGTGAAACCGGATGTGACGCTGGTTCAGTCATATCTTGTACAGTTAATTGCGTAGGCAGTTTATCAATCTTGTGTATACTTCTTTTGTTTTTAGGTTTATATACACAAAATATGAACAACACAGTAAAAAAAATGAACGTTCCAGCTACACAAACAGATGCTAAAATTCCATAACACGTCTGCATCTCCATTGTTGAACAAAACCAGTTTTGGTATGAAGATGTTTCATTCGCGGCTGCAAAGATACATTATTTTTATTTATTTATTATCAGTTTGCATGTATTGATGTTGATTTTATATAAACAATTTCAGAGTATACTATTAACATTATGTTAACCCTCTGTAATTTTGTACGAAATGCATGTAAGCCTTTTCCTCAACAACCCACTCATTATACTTTATTTCATTATATACAAAAACAGAAATCAAATTCACAATTGATAATACATTTTCGATTTATTGTTATCTGTATAATTTTCATACCGTTTAACATTCAGTTAAATCCACTCGTTTCAACGAAATCCAGAAACATCGTAGTCCCGCCTAATATTTCATTTAATTACAAGTCGTAATGTGTTATTAAAAAAAACAAGTGCACGGACCTATAATTATTGTACTATATGAATGATGCATTCGACTTCCTTTCGTGAAAACTATTTCATTGATAACATTGTTGCTACTTTTAATTTTAGCAATGAACCTCCTTAAGTTGACACGTTAGTCATGCTGGGGCCTTTTATGACTAAGTATACGTTATGGGTTTTGATCATTGAGGAAGACCGTACGGTGAGCTGTAAGTGCTTACATCCATGCACTGTCAATTGGTATCTAATGGATGGTTGTCTCAATGGATATCGTACAACATCTTTGTTTTTATGAATCAACCGTTGAAACATGTTTTGTTTTAAAGAGAAATATGTATTGTATTTGAAAACTGTATAGTCATTATTTACCAAAGTGTTGCAATTTGTAACCTATGTACTGATCGATCATTTCTCATGTTTGCAAGTATTTCATCGTTACAGCACCTATGTTAGTTTGTTGTCGACTTCCTAGTATAGTTACAATTACTGTGTAATTAAATTTCCTTTTTTCAAACTGTCTTTTGTTATTTTTGCGGGTTTGGGAGATTTTTGTTAACAAAAAAATTCAGTCACGATTCCAAGGAAAACGAATGTCTCTTTGCTATGGTTTGTGTATAGCACCTTTGATAATAAAGCTTCCTATGAACCAATACATACACTAGCTTGTAATCCTAGCCATTTGCCCTTAGAGAATTGAACGCAGCAAAAACATTTGCTTTGGTCTTTATTTGCAATTTCGTTTCTAGACTTTGTGATTTTTACAGTCATGTTTCTAAGAAACTCTAACACATTCTGACCAGAACAATTCATTAATACCTAACATGTACATCCACTTACAATAGCTATTGTTACTGCTGATCGATATACTGCTTCCTGTTGTAACACTACTTCCTGTTGTAACATTACTTTCTGTGGTAACACTACTTCCTGTTGTAACACTACTTTCTGTTGTGACACTAATTCCTGTTGTAACACTATTGTCTGTTGTATCACTATTTCCTGTTGTTATCTCATTTTCGGTCGTAGCACTGCTTGTTGTAGATGCGTCTGATGTGCAATTGACTATAACAATAAATACTTATCATATAGCAAAATATTGTCAATAAATTCAAGTTTTTCATTTATGATATATGTAAGATATAAAATTGAGAATGGAAATGGGGAATGTGTCAAAGAGACAACAACCCGACCATAGAACAGACAACAGCAGAAGGTCACCAACAGGTCTTCAATGCAGCGAGAAATTCCCGCACCCGGAGGCGTCCTTCAGCTGGCCCCTAAACAAATATATATACTAGTTCAGTGATAATGAACGCCATACTAAACTCCAAATTGTACACAAGAAACTAAAATTAAAAATAATACAAGACTAACAAAGGCTAGAGGCTCCTGACTTGGGACAGGCGCAAAAATGCGGCGGGGTTAAACATGTTTATGAGATCTCAACCCTCCCCCTATACCTCTAGTCAATGTAGAAAAGTAAACGCATAACAATACGCACATTAAAATTCAGTTCAAGAGAAGTCCGAGTCTGATGTCAGAAGTTGTAAACAAAGAAAATAAACAAAATGACAATAATACATAAATAACAACAGACTACTAGCAGTTAACTGACATGCCAGCTCCAGACTTCAATTAAACTGATTGAAAGATTATGTCTTCATCATATGAATATCAGGCACAATCCTTCCCGTTAGGGGTTTAGTATCATACCATCATAACATATATGAGAAGAACATAACCCGTGTCATGCCAACAACTGGTTTTTAAATAAATGTGTTTAGTGCCGATGCCGATGACCCTATAAGTGAATCAATATTAACGCCAAAATATGCAATCTTTAATGACCTGACAACAGTATCGTAACTATATCCCTTCTTAATAAGTCTATTTAAAGGTTTTGTAAGAGTTGTGTTACCAAAATGTTTTATTGAAATAGAATATGGTTACGGCTATCTCGCATCATAGTTCCAGATTCTGACCCTTGAAAATCTATTGACTGTTAACGAATCTAGAGCACCTGAGGTAATTTCCGGTATCAAGTTCGATTCATATTTCTTTGTTTTTAGTTTTGTATTTGGTTTTAGTTATACTTTATTTGTTACTAATCAGTATATTCTAATTTGTTCTGCATGTGTCATATCTTTTTTCAAACTAACTTGCATTGTTCGGTTGTGCTTCCAAAATAGAGGATTCACTACCAGTGGGTTTTCAAAAATAGAAACTAGACATTCATTAATGTCTTTGATAAAAAAAAACAATTAAACATTTTTATTCAATGTGTGAAAAAAAATCTAATATCTTATTTGTGTGGGTAGACAATTTAAATATGTGATTATGGGAAGGTCGACAAGGCATTAATGTAAAATTAGAATATTGGATTATGACAAACCTTCCGATGCAAACTCCCACTACCCCTCTTCCCCCAATCCTTTTTTTTTTTTAAATTTTACTCAGATTCTTTTTACCGTTATTCTCCTTTAATTTCATTCGGGAAATGATCAAGTACATACATGTATAAATGAACAAAAATTCAAAGTACAAAGCAGCATTTATTTAACGACAAAGAACGTAACAGTAGGTTTACTTTTATAATATGTCTAGGTTAGTCTATGGAAAGGTATATGCTATGAAATTTAGAGCGAGGGGCTTGCCCCGAGCTCTTAATTTCATAGTATATACCTTTTCATAGACTATCCAATTTAGCACATATTTACAATTCGAGTAATCTTTTAATTGGTCTGTAATTGATACTTTATTTTGGCTGACTACTTGTATCACAGGTGTTTGTAAAACGGAGCTCGTTATCGAATTTTATGTTTTGTAAATCTACTCACTAGTATCATTGTAAAATATGTGATTTCAAAAAGCCCTAGTGATTCCAGAATGAAAAGATGATAGCTGCTGGTGTAAATATGTATATTAATATAAAGCGGTGTTTTACTATACATGTACTTCTTTACATGGTAAGATGACAAAATGAATTGACCAAAAGCAGACAATAATTAAATTGCAGTGGAAGCTTTATATGTTTTGAAAACACTTTTCAATTTCACAGTAAAACTAAAGTTATAATAAATTAAGATTATTTGAAACATATAGATAGTTTGTCCCCCTAGATAGTCTAGCGGATAGCATTAAAAAGAAACTACCTATAGATCAGAGATTATAGGTTTTGTGTTTTTTATGTTTTTTTTTTCAAAGTAAAAACTAAAAGATTAATCAGAATATGTATATATATATATATAGGTGGCACAATCTCTTCAGACATTATCACGGTTTTTCAATTCAACACATGCATGAAATATTTGCCACTGGACATTAAGCAACCAGTAATCAATCAATCAATTCATGACGAAATAGATCAATTTCCCCAAGAAAGTTAATAAAATCACCAAATTGCCTTAATTTCCCTTCACAATAATTCATAGTTACTGTACACACTTTTTTTGTGTACAAAGTAGTTGCATTGATGATAAATTATTACAATTTTAAGATAGCCCTGTACTCTAATCAAGGTATAAAGAACCATATTTGTTACTCTTTATTTCAATGAAAAAACTTGCAATTGTCAAAAACATTATTTAATTCCAAAGATATTAATAGCAGGATATGTAAAAATCAACGTGAAAACTAATTACAAACTATTTAATTTAATTTGGAACATTTTATTTCAAAATAGCCAGTGGCAATTTTTGTTTTCATATCTTGATTACGATACAATGAAATCTTATCCTTGTGGTCATTCATGCGTAGTTACTTAGTACACGGAAAAAGTATGTACTATGAAAATTAGAAGGCAAATTCAAGCAATATGAGTGGACGAGAAGTTGTAAGTATGTGCTAAATTCTGGTTACAAAAATGTTTTAATTAAGACAAAGACACTAGACTTCACACATTCTAAATGGATCGAAAAACATGCATGCATATATATACTAATGATATAAGCGTTTCCATTTTAATATTATTGCAGAACAATGTATCAATCGATATGTTAAGTCCATTACTACAACCTCCAAGGCATTTTTAGAAAATGTTCAGATGGATAAATACTTTAAAATAATGTATTTAAAAAAAATCACAAAAAAATCATCATTAAGACTGTAGTGCTACCTTAAACACGCAACAAGTATGATTTCCTGACTGTAGTTGATGCACTCAACTACTAAAGAATCACTTAACATTGATTTGTTAGTGTAACATTAAACTTAAATGAACAAATCAAGGGTATAACTCAGGAACGCAGTCAAAATTTAATTTAACCTGTGTTAAATGGTCTCTGATCTTTTTCAAAGTTTCAATTGATAATATCAGGGATAAAACCTGAACTTCGTATTTACAATCAACAATCACTTTTCATTAAATTAAAACTATCCTGTCTGCATCCGAAAACCCGCTAGAATGGCATATATTGTTATCGTATATATAGTGAAAAGGCGAATTTTGCTTAAAATTTAGAAATATCTTAACTGGCTTACCAGTCGACATACATGTAATAATGTATTACTTATAAATAAGAGTCTAGAACAGATTTTAAAAATAGCGAACAATTGACTGAAAAATTATGATTACAACAAAAAAGGCAGAACAACTATTAAAACAGAAATTAATGGGGTCTAAAATACAAAAAAATAGAGATTAATTGAGAGAAAAAAAAACAAAGAAAAGATAAACTCGCCAAAAATAAAGAATATAGAAATTTAGACACTCAGATAACGCAATAAAGATTCATATGTTTTCAAATCTCACCTATCGTCGATAGTGACAGTACGCCACCAGTGGATGTTGCAACTCCTGGTGTCTGTGATGGTTCGCAGCTTCCAGCACTAACACTGGTAAGTAAAGTTGTACCAGAATAAGCCACTGCCTTCAAAATAGCAAACGCTTCTATATCATGACATGTGCATATTATGGCTGTTTTTTTACTTCAGTTTCTTATTTGCTTGATACTCAATCGATTTTTTCTGACGACAATACATTTAACAATTTAACATAGCAAACAATATATATGAAAATACTTTTATAAAGAATATACGTTTGACAAAGCATTTGTAGTTCATGTAAATGTTCTATAAATGTCATACATTTCTCCTGGATATATCTATGGAAACCAATAAAAGTAAATTGTCACCACTAAATAATTTCTAATAAGCAAGTTCATAGACACCGATGATCTTCATTATATATGTGTTCATAAAACCTTATTATGAAAACGATAGTAATAATATTATGAATTAAACCATTAAACATTTAAGAAAGTTTATGTTACAGCGGGTAACTGTCTCAATGCCATCGAGGTGCATGTATCTCTTTCGATCATAACCCTTTGTGGTCAAAATATGTTAGCGCACATTGTATCTTTTAAAATATTTTTTTCTTTCATTCCCTTTTTATCATGTTTATTTGTTTATGTATTGTGGCAATAAGCTTGGCTCGTTGGCTATATTCATTTGGTACCAGCTGATCAGAATCAGTTGTAAATAATTGTTTTCTGTTTCAGAACTGTGAAAATATCAGAGAGAAAAGTGTCTAAAGGATCACTATAACTTCCACACGATAATCTGAGCGTAGACGGCGTAGGTTGTGCTTTGAATGCTCGTATGGTTGGGATGGTCGCAAACATTGAAGCATTTTGCTTTCCAAAACTTTTGGTCTCCTGTGTGCCTAATGGAGGTTACATTGTTTTTTTTTAACGAGACATAGAAATAAGAAGATGTGGTATGAGTGCCAATGAGACAACTCTCCATCCAAGTCATAATGTGTAAAAAGTAAACAATTATAGGTCAAAGTACGGCCTTCAACACGGAGCCTTGGCTCACACCGAACAGCAAGCTATAAGGGGCCCCAAAATGACTAGTGTAAAACAATTAAAACAGGAAAACCAACGGTCTTATCTATATAAAAAATGTTCACTATAACATCGGGTTTACATATTTGATTAGGAACCGCTATACAGTTGCCGCTACTGGTAGATTGTCAGTCTAAGACAAGTTTTAAATACTTATGTATTTACATGTAACTACTAATATTGAAGAGCCTGGGTGGGGGTTTACTTTTATTA